TTGGACCCTAACCCCGCGGATCTGCGTGAAGGGTGGCACCGAATTTTAGAAATGTCGCAAATCCCCTGTGTTTTTAGACCCTGAGCCCGCGGATCTGCGTGAGGGGTGGCACCGAATTTCAGAAATGTGGCAAATCGGCAAATCCCTTGTGTTTTTGGACCCTGACCCCGCGGATCTGCGTGAGGGGTGTCGATTTCGAGCCCCCCCAGCAATTCAGACAACGCGCCCAGGGGGTGCTAAAAAATCTGGTTTGGGCCTCCCTCCCCTCGCGCGGTCAATCAACTAGTTACAGTAACCAGCAAGAAGCAGAACTGTAACATTGGAAACTACAATTTACAACTGGTACAGGAAACTGCGAATCACGGGCCTACAGCCTGGTGGCCCCACAAGGGGGCCGGCGGACTCTTTTTGCGTATTTTTGTTGTGCATATGGACTAAGATTAATGTTTCGTCCACACAATCCCCCTGTAGGGGGACAGGCCCGACATAAACCAACCCAACCCGAAGGCCCCAACCTGCCCTCCGTTCCCAGTGGGAGGGGCGTCGGGGAACATGGAAAAAGCACACGTGGAACCCGTCTCCCCCCAGTCCGAAATCGTGGTTCTCGGGTTAGGCCGGGGTGTTCTGGTGGGTAGTCACTCCGGCAGCGCTCGCGGAAGCAAACCGCGCAGACGAAGCCCGCGCTGGACCTGGCGACGGCGGGTCCTCCTCGCCCTCCGCGGCCTCGTTGGCGTTCCGCCTCCTCCACGGGCGAGGGGCTTCGGAGGCTCGGAGGTTGGCACCAACACCAGTGTCGTCGATTGCCTCCACCGGGGAAAGATGATCCCGCTCTCGTCGGGGCTCATTTTTTTCCAGGCGGACACGCAAGGGACAACGAGCCGCCGCCCTTCTCTCCGTGCACGTCGGGGGCGCCCACTCAGGGGGAGAGCCTGCGATGCGCAGCAGCAAATCAGGAGACGGGGGTCAATGCAAACGGGGGTCAGCCAGAGCTCCGGATCTTGCAGGATCCTGCAGAGCCAGCGGTGCACTGACCCGGGTTTGGGTGCAGGATCTTGCAGAATCCTGCGAGGCCTGACTGGCCCGGGTCTGAATTGACCTGGGTCGGTACATCCCCGATCTCGGTGATGGTGGCAGTATTGGGGCCTCTTAGGTCCCAGGTGGGAGAAATATTTCCACCAACGTCAAGATCTAGGATTATGATGTTCCAACTTATTTTAGCCTCGATCACCTAAAATAATTTCGAGCACCAAAAAAATACCGAAACTCGAAGGTTTTCACGCGTCGGGCAGTGGGAGACACTCGTCCGACATGTTTCGACACTGTTTCGGCACTGTTTCGATACTTTTCCCTGGTGCTCGAAATTATTTCTGGGATGTGGTCCTTAAGTACGATGGGAGCAACAGAAATCTAGGATGATCTTCGGGTGCGGCCGAGACGCTGGAACGCATCAGTGCGGGTTCGGAGTGGGCTCGATGTTCTTTGGGTCATTCCCGGTTGTTCCCCTGGCGCTCCTCGTGCACCCAGGCGTTGTTGGAAACCCAATCGAGGATTGAAGAAGCCCTGGGACACACAAATAAATAGACACAAATAACCAGATTCCCCATACTCTCCCATATTTTCTGGGTTTGTGTCTTCCCCCCACTTCCCATATTTTCCCACATCTCCTGGGGAATCGACGATTAATTGTGTCTGTGTGTGTTTCTTTCCCTCCTGATTCGTTATCTGTCTGGCCGTCGAAATGATGGCACGCCGAATGTACCTGCGCGCAGTTCCGCCCAGACGGGCAAGCTCTGCTTTCTATCTCGGGTCGGGCGAGGGGGGGAGGCTTCTCCTCCTCCTCCTCCTCCTCCTCCTCCTCCTCCCCCTCCTCCTCCTCCTTCTCCTCCTCCTCCTTCTCCTCCTCCGCCTCCTCTTCCGCCTCCTCCACAATTACCCAATATGAATACTACTCTCCCTCTTCCCCTGATGATGGTTTGAAAGTGGCCGACCCCCCCCGCGTATTGTTTTTTACACACAGGTTTCCCCAGAGTTGGGTTTTCGCTTGCATGTTTTCCAAAATGCTGCTCTCGCTGAGGCGCCGGCCTCATTTTCGGGCCCCGCTCGTTCCGAATCGTGCTCCCGCTGCAGCGCTGGCCTCATTTCTGTGCTTCCGCTCGTTCCGAGTCGTGCTCCCGCTGCAGCGCTGGCCTCATTTCCGCGCTTCCGCTCGTTCCGACTCGTGCTCCCGCTGCAGCGCTGGCGTCATTTCCCGTGCCATGCCACGGCATGCAATGCAATGCTAGGTTGATACTACGCTTTGCGGTGCTCTTCTACGCCATGCCATGCCGTGCTCTACAATGCATCGCGTACCCTTTCGGGATCATTGCCCTGCTCGACATCCGACTGTGCGAGTAGAGAGGGGATCTGCGCCATGGTAAGGGATGGGAGGGAGGGGTAGGATGTCAGATATGACGCGAGCGCACCTAGCTTGTCCCCCTCCCCCTCCCCCTCCTCCTCCTCCTCCTCCTCCTCCTCCTCCTCCTCCTCCTCCTCCTCCTCCTCCTCCGGTCGAAAGGGGGGAGGCCGGGAAACGGGAGGTTGCGAACCTTGGAGCGTGCCATGGGCTTCGGCTCTGCGGCCAGGCGTTTCCCCCGATGCACGACAGCTCCGGGTGCCGGGAAAACCGGTTGCATCCACCAGGTTCGATGGCCCATCGGTCGTTGAAGGTAGGTATTCTTGGGCTCCCGTATTCCAATCTGCTCCAAGCGCCTTCCTACTACAATGATCGAGCGGCTTCACCTTTTCCGCCCTCCCGAGGGGGCGGACGGAATCCAATCTGCTTTCAACGCCTTCCTACTTCATGTTTCTCCCGACTTCTTCCGACCGATGGGTACCCCCCCCCCTGCGAGCGTCCCCATTTCGCCCGACCCGCTCCCCCTCCCCATGCATCGTTCCCGCCATCCGCGGAGCCGTTCTTTCACACGGAACCCTTGTTCACCACTTCAAGCAATTATCTTTTTACCCTCGCTGCGGGCATGCCGCCGCTGTGTGCTGTCGTATTGCTCATCGTGCATCTGGAAAAACAACAACAAAAACACAACCCCGGGTGGACGCGGTGGTATGGTTGCCTTAGGCACGCGTGGCCAGGTTGCCGCGCGTTCTGACAATCGTATGGGTCACCGCGGCTAGACATCGCCGAGATCGGTGCTCCCATGTCTTGGCAACGGCTTGCAGGGAGGCAGACAAGAGGGGACGGACACGAAGCATTGCGCGAATCGTGCGAATGCCGAATCGGTGGGTTCCCGGATCGATCATGAAGTTGCCACGGCCACGGGGTCACGTGTGGCTCCAGCCCCACTCAGAGCTCTGCAGGGTACTCAGTCGATGGCCTAAGGTCATTATTTGCCTGGCACCTCCATCTTTCGCCGCCGCCTTCTCGTGCCTCTCCCACCTGCTGGAAGCGTTTGTTGTCATAGTCTCCTTTGGCCTTCTCTGGATCTCGTCGGCCATCTGCCATCTCTTCGCCCTTCATGCCGCGTTTCGGTGCTGTTTTCGGCCAGCGCGCGGCGTTCAGCAACCGCTGCGGCATTCGGAGTGGTAGCCCAGCTTGGGCTGGCTGGGTACCGCAGTTTTGTGTCGTCTCGACGCGGAGGTGACCCCAGAGCGGTCGGTTCAAGGTTGAACGCCGTCAGTGGCCTAGATGTGACCGAGAAGAACGATTTGTGCGATGGGGTTGTCTCGATCGCTCAAGTTTGAACGATCCACGCGGTGTCAGAAACGAATGCCAAAGTCGTCACGGCACGAGCTTGCCTTAGCCCCCTCGCGTGTTCCTACTTTCAGGCTTCCTGACCCGAATGGCCCAGCTTGCGGAAGGGGGAGCAAGCCAGCATAATCATCACCGGGGGTCTGAGACTTGGGCCGCAGGCCGAAGATTCCAACATCGGTTTCCCCGAACTCAGCGACGAAGGAACAGCACACACCCCATACCCATAGGCGTGTCGAAGGGAGGAGGACTGGCTATGGTTATGGGTGCGGATTGTCGAACCCTGGGTGAAGCTCCCGTTCGAGCGGGGACCCTCATCCGACAACACGCACCCATAGCCCCCCTCCGTCCCCCCTATGGGTATGAGTGTGTGCTGTTCGTTCGTCACTGATAGGATCAACCGTACACACGCTAACGGCGATGTAGGTTCCGGTATTGTGGGAACGCGCGGCTCGTGCTTTCCTACAATTCGCCGTGTCGTTTTCGTTCGATACATCCGCAGATCGGAAATGTAGGAAAGTGTGGTTCTTGATTTCCTACAGGTCGATGTCCACCATCACCGTTAAGCAACATCGCCGTTGGTGTGGCCTTGGATCAAGAAGTCGCAAGAAGGATGCGATCCAGGATTCGAGGTTCTTCTGCAATCCCTCGCGGGCTCCAGAGAGAGCCCCTATCCGTCCCCCCTATGGGTATGAGTGTGTGTTGTTAGTTCGTCACTGAGAGGATCAAGAAGTCGTGGGAAGGATGCGTTCCAGGATTCGAGGCGCTTCTGCAGTGCCGCGCGGGCTCCAGAGAGAGGAGGGCCACCAGATGCTCGGGACTTCCTTGAACGCACCCCACGCCGATCGCATCCTGATGTCATTCTTGACCTACGAGCATCAGGAGGGGAACAAAACACACAGACAAGTGAGAATTGTTTAATTAGCTCTTTTGACGATCGGCGCGGGCTCTCGCCCCCCCCCCCCCCGTGGAGTGGATCTTGGCTGTTTTTAGCGCATGTTTCGAGCTGGTGTGTTCTCCCCCATGGGACCCAATGGGACCCACGATCCCAAACAGTCGCACTAAGCAGATGTCGGGAGACCCCCCACCCTCCCCCCCCCGCCTTGCGCCAAATGTCGAAACGCCGGATAAAAAAAGTTCGCCAAGTAATTCCGAGGAAAGTATGGGAAAATGTGTAGGAAATGTGGGGGGGGAGACGAACATCGAAAAAACAAGACATAGGGGGACTCCTGGGATTGGTGTGTACTTATTTGCGTGTCCCTGGGCCCCTTCGGTCTCGACCCGCGAGCATCCATCTGGTCCGTTTACTGGCGCGGGGTCGGGAGCGTGTCGTCTGAGGTGTCCTGTGCGTCCGCCGGGTCGCGGCACGCGGAGAGATGCGCGGACCCGCGCGGAGGACTCCGAGCCCCAGCTGTCCGACGACGACGACAAGGCGCGACGCTTGGGAAGGCGGGAAGGGCACAGGTCGCGATTCTTGTTCTCGGATGGGTACAGAAAGGGGCACGGCGCTCAGAAACAGCGTGGTTTTCGTCCAGGTCGTTTCCAGCGGTGCGCGCTGACTTCTCCCGGTCGTCAAGAGACTGTTGCGCCGTGGGTGCCCCGGGTTCCTCCGATTGGATCCCTTGGATAAGAGCCCCAGGCCCTAGGCAAGAAATGTCCAGGAATGTCAGGGCTGGGTTTCTTGCGATGGTTTCTTTTCGGCCGCGTCCCCACTGTAGGGCCAGGCGGCGTGAGGAGGGTGGCGAAAGCCGAACCGAGACTGGCACGTCTGCATATCCACCGCCTGGGCAGCCGATGTCCGAGGACACCGCGAGGCATTTGATATGCACGTGTGTATATATATAGATATATAGATATAGATATAGCTATGAAATATTTGAGGGGGGCGGTCCCAAGAATGTGAACATCCACCGCCTCCCGGTGGCCTAGGATACCAATTACACAGGAGTTGGGTGTGTACGTGTTCAGGCCTCGCAGCCTTTTGCCGTGACAAAAATTCTCGGACGGTCTCCAGAGAGCTTGAACGATTTCGGCCATCCTTCGGATCTGTGTTCGTCAGGAGTACCATGGCAGGAAAAATACATTGACGTGCGATATTCTCTCCCCCCTGAGTTCGTGACGCAGCTCGCTGAGTACGCATGTCGAGAACCGGCAGTGATCTGTCCGCCGAATGAGGGTGATCAGGAAGTCTCCGTTTTTTGGACATGGTTCCCCATCTCATGTTCTGCAGGACACAACGCTGGCAAGCTGTACCCTCAAAGGCGCAGGGCGGCTCAGGAAGTCAAGGGTGGGGACGAGGAGGAGGAGGAAGAAGAGGAGGAGGAGGAGGAGGAGGAGGAGGAAGGGGAGGAGGATGAGGAGGTGGAGGAGGAACAGGAGGAGGAGGAGGAGAAGGACGGACAGACGGAGGGAAGGAAGGAAGGAAGGAAGGAAGGAAGCGAAGGAAGCGAAGGAGGAAGTGGAGGTGGAGGAGGAGGTGGAGGAGGAGGAGGAGGAGGAGGAGGACGAGCAGCACCACCAGCAATTCAGCACAACCCGTCTCGTACCGAACCCACACAGCAGACCAGGGGTGGGCGGGAGTTGTCCTGAATGACTGATAGGGCGCATGGCGCCAAGCGCTGGCACCGACTGCCCAGCTCGAAGAGAACTTACGTGAGCCCAAAGGCGACGGACCACCGAGCGCGCTCGCCCACGTGCTTTCGACCAGGCGGACAGCACCGAATTTATGCTGCTTGCCCGAAACGACCTGACATTTCAGCGGGATTGCCCACGGGTTGATAACCGTCTAGTTTCGGACGGCTTATTTCCAAAACGTGTTCAACCAATGTTCTGGCGGATTGATTCTGAATCGTGGTCAACCCAAGTATGTTCCAGCGAGTTCTTTCCGGAAATTGATCCATATGTTTTGTCGGAATGTTTCCAGAGTTTGATCCATATGTTCTGGCGGAGTGTTTCCAGACCAGGTTTTTTAGTATCCGGACAAACCGCCGCCGCGGCCGTGCGGCGCAATGCCGCCGCGGCAGACGCGATCCCGGGACCTTCCCATCCAAACGTAGGCCAGACATTATGGCAGGCCTTTTGGAGGCCTCTGGCTAATGG